CTCAAGATGGCCACTTCCAAAAATGCTGGGGGGTGTTTTTCTAAGTGATTTCTCAGCAAAATAAAGCATGGAGGCATAGATGGATGGAGGAGTTTGAATATTAACAATGACTTAAATAGCAGTTTTGGTTTGTGGTGCTCAGATGCACTGCGGTTCCACTTTAATAATAAAATATACAATGTTGCCCCCATATTGAAAACTTTGGTGACCCCTGCTGTAGGTGACCACAATAGGACCCCGGTCGCACTAGGTGCAACTTGGCATGCGATTTGCATGCCATGCTGTAGCGGCAGCTTTGGGGATACCAGGTAAACTCCGGACACGAACTTGAGGAAAACAAACCTTTTATTTAACCAGCGCTGGTTGAAACTTAGCCAGACTCTTGTCTGCAAAGCTAAGTGGCTTCAAAAACATCTCACAGAGTATACATATTAACAATTACGTCACAATGCATATTTTTCCTTTTTCACTTTCTGTACATTCAAAAGGCTTTCTAAACTGTGCAGTATATGGCCTTGAATGCCAGCTGCAGATGAGGATACCAACTACAAGCTGGAACACATTACTCCACAGGAAATAAGGGAGGGGGGAAGTGAGCTGGTGACCATGATTTTGCAAACAGAGGCTGCTAGAAGTGTTAGAGTTTAACCCCTTAACGCCGATCGCACGCAAATATGCGGCCATTCAGCGCCTGGGCCTTGGCGCCGAGCGGTCGCATATTTGCGTGCAATTAGAAATTACATATGTGCTGAGAGCGTGCATCCTGCGCGCTCCCAGCACATATGTCCGTGACTCCCGGAAAGGTCCCGATCTCTCCTTTCGATCGGGACCTTTTCCTGATTATGTGACCACCGTGACGGCGAATCACGGTGGTCACATGACCTTAAAACCCCACCTCCCGGATTCTGAAACTCTTAAAGGGCCGGGAGGCGCCAGTGCCAATAGGTTAAAGGGGAACTCTGCAATATTTGGGTGTTGCCACAATGCATGCCACATCGCACCCTATTGTCTGCAATTACAGCGGTCATATCAGTGGGGCTCCGACTTGGTCGGAGCCGCACTGATTTCTAAAGTAGTACACGCACTAAATGTGGTGTGATTTGCATACACATCTGTGTCCGCTGTCTTGAAAATCGCTCCTGAAATCGTCATGTCCCCCGAATTACAGTGAATTTGCACGATTTCAAAGTCGGAGCTTGATGTGACCGGGGGTGTAACAGCCTCCACATTCCTCTCAAATTAAAAAAGACAGATAAACGCGGGTCTCTTTTGTAACCTCCATTCATTTTTGTTAACAGGTCATTGTGGAGGCCACAGCACGAACACAAGGGGCCGCGGAAAAAACGCCGAAATCTCCGCTCAGATCACTCAGATCCGGCTGCCAAATACGCGAGCCTCCGTCCAAGCCGCCCCTCGGATTTATCATTCGGTGCCCGGCATCGACCGCCCGGGACAGGAGCTGGCCTTTGCTGGAAGCAGCGTCCTCGTAGGTTTAATTTAACTCTCAGATGACTCTAGAGCAAAAAAAAAAGAAGAAAAAAAAAAAAGGGCATTAATAACGGTGGAAATAAATGAGACGGTATAACTCATTCCTAATTGATAGTGTTCTTCCCAGCAAATGAAAAACTTCTATGGATTATTGCACAGATCTAATTATGTCATTACGCCGCTCCAGGTTCGGTGAGTGGTTGGTATAAATTGGGGCCGAGGTTGACATTCTTTCTTAAGAGGGCCCGGGCCTCCGCCGGCGATTTAATTAGCGCAGACTGATGAAGATGACACGGGGCTGCGGGATGAGATTAAGACCCTCATTGAGGGGAGTGGTGAAAAGCAGAGCTAGGTCTCCAATAATTCAATAATTGGGATGATGAAGCTCTCAGACGTAATTTCTTTACCCTTTTCAATGCTTGCCAATTTTTTTTTTTTAACTGAACTCCAGGCCGATATATAAGATGCAACTGAATGCAGCTCTCTAATCGTCTAATCAGAGCACCCAAGTATGCGGCCAATCGTGACCAAATATGTGGCCTCTTGGCGGCTGGGCCTTGGTGCCGAGGGGCCCCATATTTGCAGATGTGCCGAGAGCGAGCGCTCTGTGCGCTCCTGGCATATTTTCCCGCGCCTCGTGGAAAGGTCCCGATCGCTACTTGAGGTCGGGAGCTTTCCAAACATGTGACCAAATATGTGGCCTCCTGGCGGCTGGGCCTTGGTACAGAAGGGCTCCATATTTGCGGATGTGCCGAGAGCAAGCGCTCTGCGCGCTCCTGGCTCATTTACCGGCGCCTCATGGAAAAGTCCCGATCGCTACTTGCGGTCGGGAGCTTTCCGATCATGTGACCAAATATGCGGCCTAATGGCGGCTGGGCCTTGGTGCTGAGGGGCCCCATATTTGCGGATGTGCCGAGAGCGAGCGCTCTGCGTGCTCCTGGCATATTTACCCGCCCTTGTGGAAAGGTCCCAATCGTACTTGAGGTCGGGAGCTTTCCAATCATGTGACCAAATATGCGGCCTCTTGGGGCTGGGCCTTGGTGCCGAGGGGCCCCATATTTGCAGATGTGCCGAGAGAGAGCGCTCTGCACGCTCCTGGCACATTTACCGGCGCCTCATGGAAAAGTCCAATTGCTACTTGCGATCGGGAGCTTTCCGATCATGTGACCAAATATGCGGCCTAATGGCGGCTCGGCCTTGGTGCAGAGGGGCCCCATATTTGCGGATGTGCCGAGAGCAAGCGCTCTGTGCGCTCCTGGCACATTTACCGGCGCCCCTCGTAGAAAGGTCCCGATCGGTACTTGCGGTCGAGAGCTTTCCGATCATGTGACCAAATATGCGGCCTCTTGGCGGCTGGGCTTTGGTGCTGAGGGGCCCATATTTGCGGATTTGCTGAGAGCGAGCACTCTGCACGTTCCTTTGGCACATTTACCGGTGACCTCATGGAAAAGTCTCGATCGCTACTTGTGGTCGGGAGCTTTCCGATCATGTGACCGCCGTGATTGGTCACCTGACTCTAAACCCCCGCCTCCCGGCATCACAAACCCCTTAAAGGGCCAAGAGGCGCCGGCACCAAAGGGTTAATGCACCACTAAACATATTTCTAGAAATGCAGGCAGTGTAAGGACCTGAATTTGCAGTCCCTGTACAGCAGAGACAATACTGAGAGAGGGACAAGCAGCAGAAAGAGCCAATCAGTTCATTTGCTGATAAGAAGCATGCTGATAGGAGGAGAGAGTAGAGTGGCAGAGAGATGATTTAGGATGACCTGGACTAAGAGGAAGTGGGTTGAAACATGCTGGTCATCAGACCGAGGCATCTAGTGGCAGAAAAAATACTGCAGCCTGTGAAAGGAGAAGAAGCAGAGTGTTGAGCTCATCTCTCTGCCTCTCTGCTCTCTCCTCCTATCAGCATCCTTGTGATTGGCTCCTTGTGCTGCTTCTCCCTCTCCCAGTTTTGGCTCTGCTGCACAGGGACTGCAAGAGTCTGATCTCCTGTTAGATTTCGGTACCTACACTGCCTGCATTTAAAGAAATGCATTGCTTTACATGTATGTTGGTGATAGGCGAACAGTTGGCTTGATATACAGGTCATACAGGCAGCTCTCTGTGACCCCGGGTTATCCCTGGGGGTCCCTGGAGTGGTTAATATAGTATATAAAAGGATGAGAGCCCCGGGACCTTGTATCAAGTCCAGGAAATTTGCATTTATCTTGATAACAAGTCACAGGATGTACCGACGCGTTTCGGGGGCTCCCAGCTCCTCCATCATAAGCTGGCAGTTGTTATCCGATTGCCTCTCGGGGGATCGGGAAGGAATTTTTTTTTCCCTGCAGGAGCAAATTGGATCACGCTTTGCTGGGTTTTTTTTTTTGCTTTCCTCTGGATCAACTGTGGGTGTAGGATTATAACTTTTTTTTTTTTAATGGTTGAATTGGATGGACTTTTGTCTTTTTTTTCATTGTTCATTGTTGTAAGATTCTCTCAGTTTATGGAATAAACTTCACAAGATCTACAAGGGGTCATCTGATCGAGTCACTACCTGTGTTATTCAACTAAGATTGGAGTTATTGCTATCTCATCACAACTGTAAGTTACAGAGATCACACTTTCAATGCTTAGATTGGAGAGACAGAACAATGTAACGTATTCATGCATTCTATACAAAGTATGCATCTGCTAGACTGGGGACCTGTGATCTCTCTAATAGTCATACGTTTACTTTTCATTGTCCAGTATCCCCAATCAACTACCAGCACACCATGATGAAGGGAGAGCTGACACCTCGAAACACATTGACTATATCCTCTGATCTGTTACCAAGATAAATACATTTTTACTGGACTTACAAACCTAGGACTCTCTCTAATACTTCTATATACTAATTTTATACATTTATTGCAGGTTTGGGGACGGCTTAGTGGTTAGCACGTCTGCCTTGTAGTAATTGGGTCATGGGTTCGATTCCCAACCATGGCACCTCCTGCATGGAGTTTGCTGTGTTCTGGGTTTCCTGGTACTTTTCCTCCCACACTCCAAAGACATGCTGGTAGGTTAATTGGCTCCTGTCTAAATTGTCCTAGTTTCATCCCTGGCCATGTGGGATCTCCTGCATGGTGGGGGTTTGGGAAAGACCTGGCAACCTACCCTGTAAAAATAATTCATGGAAAAAGTTGCTTATAAGTGACGGTCCATGCAATCACCAAGGGTCGGATACGACTGAATGGATGGATAGATAGATAGACAGACAGACATAGAAATGGATAGATAGATAGATAGATAGATAGATAGACAGACAGATAGATAGAGATAGATAGCAGGTTTAGACATTTCCTAGGTTTGTACTGTACATGTACACATCATCTCAGTTGGAGTTGTCCTTTCACCTCTCCGTGGCTAATGAGGTCATTTTGATTTTTCTGTGTTCTGTTGCAGCATCATGGAATGATGCCGTTGGGTGGAACTCAACAGTCCCGCAGAAGAGGAGAAGTCTGGCTGGTAGGAGCTCCGCCCAGTCTTCTCTGCTCCAGAGCGCCCCCAACATGATTCTGCCCCTCCAGACTCAATGCACCAATCAAACAACGGGACACAACAGGTATTCATTTTGAAAATGATCCTAAGAGTACGCAAATGAATGTGTAGACGAAGCAATAAGTGAGTGAGCAGGCAGTGCCATCAGCAAACCCTGAAATTGGGCTAAAAATCAGAAAATCAACTCAGGTTGTGTTCATCTGAAATTTATTTCATGTGCTGCAGCTAGATTAAGTCGATTTTTCATAGTGCTTCTATACAGACTGCAGCCTCATATTACATGATTATATGCAGTGCACCTTCCTACTTTGAGGGCGTTTTAATGCAAAATGTTCATCTATGACTAAAATGTCACTTTACCAAATTCAGATGGGAATTTCAGAGAAACCTCTTGATAAAGACCATATCTCAGATTAGTCCATATATGGGAAATGATGTTCAGAGAGAACGCCCAAGGAAACTTCTCTCCAGGGTCTGTATTTGATATTAATCCATATATGTTAGAGAGAACTCCAGAGATACCTCTTCCTAGTGTCCATATTGGATATCATTCCATATATGGGCAATTATGTCAGGGAGATCTTCAGGGAAACCTGACTCCAGAGTCCATATTTTATATTGGTCCATATAAGGGTAATCATGTCAGAGAACTTCAGTGAAATCCTTTCCTAAAGTCCATAATTTATATTAGTCCATAAATGAGCAATGATGTCAGAGAGATCTTCAAGGAAAGCTGTCCCTAGAGTCCATATTTAGTATTGGTCCATATAAGGGTAATGCTGTCAGAGAAACTTCAGGAAAACTCCTTCCTTAAGTCCATCATTGATAATGGTCCATATATGGACAATGATGTCAAAGAGGGATCTTCAGGGAAACCCGTCCCCAGAGTCCATAACTGATATTAGTCCATATATGGAAAATAATGTCAGACAACTTCGGGGAAACCTGTCTCCATAGTTCATATTTGGTATTAGTCCATATAAGGGTAATGACATCAGAGAACTCAAGAGAAATCCATTTGTAGAGTTCATATTTTATATTGGTGTATATCTGAGAGATCTCCAGGGAAACCCATTGCCAGAGACCATGTATGATATTAGTCCATGCATGGGCAAAGATATCAGAGAACTCCAGGAAAACCCCCATATTTGATATTAGTCCATATATGGAAAATAATGTCAGAGACAACTTCGGGGAAACCTGTCTCCATAGTTCATATTTGTATTAGTCCATATAAGGGCAATGACATCAGAGAACTCAAGAGAAACCCCTTTGTGGAGTTCATATTTGATATTGGTGTATATATGGGCAATTACTGTATATCTGAGAGATCTTCAGGGAAACCCATTCCCAGAGACCATATATGATATTAGTCCATGTATGGGCAAAGATATCAGAGAACTCCAGGAATACCCCTTCCTAAAGTCCATAGTTGATATTGGTCCATATATGGGCAATGATGTCAACGAGAACTTTAGGGAAACTAGTCCTCAGAGTCCATGTTTGATATTAATCCATATATGTGCAATAATGTCAGAAGCAACTTCAGGGAAACCTGTCTCCAGAGTCCATATTTGGTATTATTCCATACATGAGCAATTATATCAAATTGATCTTCAGGGAAACCTGTCCCTGGAGCCTGTATTTGTTATTGGTCCATATACTGTTGTGGGTAATTATGTCAGAGAGAAATCCAGGGAAACCCCTTCCTAGAGTCCATAGTTGATATTAGTCCATACTGTATACGGGCAATGATGTCAGAGGGATCTTCGGGGGAAACCTGTCCCGGAGACCATATTTGATATTGGTCCATATAAGGGTAATGATATCAGCGGGGAACTCCAGAGAAACCCATCCCTAGAGTCCATATTTGGTAGCAGTCCATATATTGGTAATGATGTTGGAGAGATCTCTGGGGAAAACCTCTCTACAGGGTCCAGTCCATACATTGGCAATGATGTCAGAGAGAAGTTTGGAGAACCTCCCCCCTCCATGGTAATGATGTCATGAGCTTGTTTTTATTAACACTTTGCTTGCCTGTAGAGAGAGAAGCCAAGGAGATGTCCTGCAGGGTGGACTCACCACCAGAAATATTGCTATTATCTAAATACCCAAAAGAAGAGCACCTGGGAGGAGGCTGAGCAGGACTGTATGGAAATGTAAGACCCTGACACACTTTCATGCTTTGGTGGAATCCAACCTCAATGTAATAAGTTCTAAACCCCTCATCTGTATAGGGGTGGAGTTAGCATTCTGAGATCCTGCAGAGCTGAAGTCCTGAACCCATTACCTACAAGGACACTGCAAACAGTTTGGGTGTTCTCCCCATACATGTACTATTGAGGGTTCAACTTCCTCCCAAAAACATGTTGCTAGGTTGATCAGTTAGGACAGAGACTGATGTGAATGGGACATGGACTGGCATGGTTGGAATGGGGCAGGTGCAACCGGGACAGGGGCTGGTACCACTGGGAGAGAGGGGCTGGTGTAAATGGGACATGGACTGGTATGGTTGGAATGGGGCAGCTGCAACGGGACAGGGGCTGGTGTAAATGAGACATGGACTGGTATGGTTGGGATGGGCTGGTACAACTGGGAGAGAAGGGCTGGTGTAAATGGGACAGGGGATGGTATGGTTTGGATGGGGCTGGTGCAACTGAGACAGGGCTGGTGTAAATGGGACAGGGACTGGTATGGTTGGGATGGGCTGATACAACTGGGAGAGGGATGGTGTAAATAGGACAGGGACTGGTATGGTTGGGATGGGGCTGGTACAACTTAGAGAGGGGCTGGTGTGTAAATGAGACAGGGACTGGTATGGTTGGGATGGGGCTGGTACAACTGGGAGAGGGACTGGTGTAAATAGGACAGGACTGGTATGGTTGGGATGGGGCTGTACAACTTAGAGAGGGCTGGTGTAAATGAGACATGGACTGGTATGGTTGGGATGGGACAGTGCAACCGGGACAGGGGCTGGTGTAAATGGGACATGAACTGGAATGATCGGGGATGGGGCTGGTGCAACTGGGATAGGGATGGTGCAACTGGGAGAGGGGCTGGTGCAAACGGGACAGGACTGGTATGGTTGGGATGGGGCTGATACAACTGGGAGAGGGGCTGGTGTAAATGGGACATGGACTGGTATGGTTGGGATGGGCAGTGCAACCGAGACAGGGGCTGGTGTAAATGGGACAGGGGCTAGTACGGTTGGGATGGGGCTGGTACAACTGGGAGAGGGGCTGGTGTAAATAGGACAGGGACTGGTATGGTTGGGATGGGGCTGGTACAACTTAGAGAGGGGCTGGTGTAAATGAGACATGGACTGGTATGGTTGGGATGGGACAGGTGCAACCGGGACAGGGGCTGGTGTAAATGGGACATGAACTGGAATGATCGGGATGGGGCTGGTGCAACTGGGATAGGGACTGGTGCAACTGGGAGAGGGGCTGGTGCAAACGGGACAGGGACTGGTATGGTTGGGATGGGGCTGATACAACTGGGAGAGGGCTGGTGTAAATGGGACATGAACTGGAATGATCGGGATGGGGCTGGTGCAACTGGGATAGGGACTGGTGCAACTGGAGAGGGGCTGGTGCAAACGGGACAGGGACTGGTATGGTTGGGATGGGGCTGATACAACTGGGAGAGGGGCTGGTGTAAATGGGACATGGACTGGTATGGTTGGGATGGGGCAGGTGCAACCGAGACAGGGGCTGGTGTAAATGGGACAGGGGCTAGTACGGTTGGGATGGGGCTGGTACAACTGGGAGAGGGGCTGGTGTAAATGAGACATGGACTGGTATGGTTGGTATGGTTGGGATGGGCTGATACAACTGGGAGAGGGCTGGTGTAAATGGACATGACTGGTATGGTTGGGATGGGGCAGGTGCAACCGAGACAGGGGTGGTGTAAATGGGACAGGGACTGGTACGGTTGGGATGGGGCTGGTACAACTGGGAGAGGGGCTGGTGTAAATGAGACATGGACTGGTATGGTTGGGATGGGCTGGTACAACTGGGAGAGGGGTTGGTGTAAATGGGACAGGGACTGGTATGATTGGGATGGGGCTGGTACAACTGGGAGAGGGGTGTGTGTAAATGGACAGGGACTGGTATGGTTTGGATGGGGCAGGTGCAACTGAGACAGGGGCTGGTGTAAATGAGACAGGGACTGGTATGGTTGGGATGGGGCTGGTACAACTGGGATAGGGGCTGGTGCAACTGGGAGAGGGGTTGGTGTAAATGGGACAGTGACTGGTATGGTTGGGACAAGGACTGATAGAGCCTTGTTTACTTTGTACACCACTATGGAATATATTATCATTATATAAACATAGAAAATGCTAAATATGTATTGGCTCCCCAACAAACATGAGTATACATATTACAATATAGAGCACCTTCACGTAAACTTGTGACTCTCCAGCTCACATATCACATATTTCGGAACACGAAATTAGTGGCGGGATCCAGAAATGTTTAGGCGAATATGGAGTGTGGGTCTTTCCAAAGATTTAGCCTAACCCCCAGCTTCTGTATTTCAGGCCGGGCAGTCACTTAACAAGTGTCCATTCACAATCGGCGATGAGGTGGCTCTGGAAGTTCGCCAACAAGAAGCCATTTTGGATCGGTAAGATATTACTAGAACGTAACGTAGAAAAGTGTTGTACTTATTTTCTGTGTTTATTATGGTCAGAGTAAAGAAATTATATATATATATATGTGTGTGTGTGTGTGTGTGTGTGTGTGTGTATATACAGTGGGGATCGAAAGTTTTGGGCACCCCAGCTAAAAATTTGTATTAATGTGCATAAAGAAGCCAAGGAAAGATGAAAAAATCTCCAAAAGGCATCAAATTACAGATTAGACATTCTTATAATATGTCAACAAAAGTTAGATTTTTATTTCCATCATTTACACTTTCAAAATAACAGAAAACAAAAAAATGGCGTCTGCAAAAGTTTGGGCACCCTGCAGAGTTAATATCTTGTACTGCCCCTTTGGCAAGTATCACAGCTTGTAAACGCTTTTTGTAGCCAGCCAAGAGTCTTTCAATTCTTGTTTGAGGTATCTTTGCCCATTCTTCCTTATAAAAGTCTTCCAGTTCTTTGAGATTTCTGGGCTGTCTGTCACGCACTGCTCTTTTAAGGTCTATCCATAGATTTTCAATTATGTTGAGGTCAGGAGATTGTGAAGGCCATGGCAAAACCTTCAGTTTACGCCTCTTGATGTAATCCCCCGTGGATATCGAGGTGTGTTTAGGATCATTATCCATTTGTAGAAGCCATCCTCTCTTTAACTTCAGCTTTTTTACAGATGGCATCAAGTTACCATCCAAAATTTGCTGAAATTTTATTGAATCCATTTTTCCTTCTACTCGTGAGATGTTCCCTGTGCCACTGGCTGCAACACAACCCCAAAGCATGATTGATCCAACCCCATGCTTCACAGTTGGACAGAGGTTCTTTTCATTCAATTCTGTGCCCCTTCTTCTCCAAACGTACCTTTGCTCATTCCGGCCAAAAAGTTCAATTTTAACCTCATCGGTCCACAGAACTTGTTTCCAAAATGCATCAGGCTTGTCTATAAGTTCATTTGCTAAGTTCAAACGATGATTTTTGTGGTGAGGACGTAGAAGAGGTTTTCTTCTCATGACTCTTCCATGAAGCCCCATATTTGTACAAGTATCTCTTTATAGTGGAATAGTGTACCACAACTCCAGTGTCTGCCAGATCTTTCTGGAGAGATAGTGCAGTCAAACGTGGGTTTTGAATTGTGTTTCTCACAATCCTGCGAGCTGTTCTGTCTGATATTTTTCTTGGTCTTCCAGATCTTGCTTTAACTTCCACTGTTCCTGATGACTGCCATTTCTTAATTACATTCGAACAGAGGATATTGACATCTGAAAACGCTTTGCTATCTTCTTATAAAAGCCTTCTCCAGCTTTCTGAGCGTCAACTATTTTCAGTTTCAGTTTTCTAGACAACTGCTTAGAAGAACCCATAGTGCTGATTGTTAGGACAAGGTCAGATGAGTCTGGGCATTTAAAACCTTTGAGATTGACATCACCTGGTCTTCCCAGACGATGATTGAGAACAATCCATGACACTGGCAGGTCTCAGCTTGGCAAAGGGGGCAGTGCATGCTATAAATTCTGCAGGGTGCCCAAAACTTTTGCAGACGCCCATTTTTTTGTTTTCTGTTATTTTGAAAGTGTAAATGATGGAAATAAAATCTAACTTTTGCTGACATATTATAAGAATGTCTAATCTGTAATTTGATGCCTTTTGGAGATTTTTTCCATCTTTCCTTGGCTTCTTTATGCACAATAATACAAATTTTTAGCTGGGGTGCCCAAACTTTCGATCCCCACTGTGTATATATATATATATATATATATATATATATACATACAGTATATATGTACAGTGGGTAAAATAAATATGGAACACATCACCATTTTTCTCAGTACATATTATTTCAGGTACCTTTTATAGGCTTTTTTGGGTGTGCTTTGAGTGTGGGCAAGAACACAGGGGCCCCATGATCCCCTATTGCCCAGGGGCCCCATGAGTTGTCAGTCTGCTCCTGGCGCTGAGAGCATGTCCAGTGCGCTCTCCCAGAGCAATGACTGTGCTGTCAAAAGAATGATCGAGATCCAACGGGACCACTTTTTGCGTAATCCAGATCTTTGTTCCCTCAGGCCTGAAGTCATCAGAGAGACGCCCGCCTTGGTCATGGGCAAGTGGACAACACTGGAGGCCCAGCAGCTTCAAACCATCGTATTCATTTCTGTCCGGAGCCTCGGAGGAAAGCTGCATCCTCGTCCGGAGGAGGAAAGAATGGACGGAGAGAAGCTGCAGCGAGAGACACAGATACATTTGCTCCATGATGTTATAAAGCTGCTGAATCCTACCGATGGCGGGAAGTCAACGGCGCCCACGTTTAACCTTACAGATAGTAAAAAGGCGCGAGATTACGGGGATATTACTATCCGTCCCTGAGGTGCCGTACCCAGCGCAGTGTACAGTACTTGTATTTAATGCAGACGTTTTGTAGCAGTTTTATGAGAGCTCATAAATCGTCCTCATATGAAATGTTTCACTTTTTCTATTTTTTCTTGTTTTTATATATATAAAGCTCTTAGAACTTTCCACCAATAAATCCAAAGAGAATTTTCGACAATAGTGCGTTTATTTATTCCGGTCTCTCTAGAGACTGGTCCAGAAATTCTTCAACAGCAAGTGAACGCTGAGCTCCAGGCAGATATAAAAGAGAAAATTAAATGCAACTCTGTATTCATTTATTACATCAATAAATGTGTCTTGTAAATAGAAGCCGTGTAAGTATCTGATTGGAACCTGGTATCAACCTCTTGCAGTTCCTGTACAGCAGAGCCGGATTCTCAGAGGAAGAAGCAGCACAAGGAGCCAATCGGTGCATGGGATGACAAAAAGTGTGCTGGGCAGTGAGAGAGAGATGAGATCCTCCCTGTGCTGCTTCTCCTTTCACAGCTGGGCTGGATCTAGAATGACCAGAGCTCAGAGGAAGTGGATTGAATGGTGATAGTCATCAGACAACTTCTGGCAGACAAAAAGTAAATTGGAGTGGTCAGGGGCCCTTAGATTGGTGGTCAGTGGGAGAAGGACCACCTAACACTGGTGGTCATTGGGAAAGGAGCCTCCTTACACTGGTGGTTAGTGGTAGAAGGGTTCCATTATAATGCTGCTCAGGGTGAATAATGCTTCCTGCATTGGTAGTCAGTGGAAAGAAAGCCCCTTACATAGGTCAATGGGAAGAATGCCCCTTACATTGGTGGTCAATGGGAAGAATGCCCCTTACATTGGTGATCAGTGGGAAGAATGCTCCTTACATTGGTGATCAGTGGGAAGAATGTCCCTTACATTGGTGGTCAATGGGAAGAATGCCCCTTACATTGGTGATCAGTGGGAAGAATGTCCCTTACATTGGTGATCAGTGAGAAGAATGTCCCTTACATTGGTGGTCAGTGGGAAGAATGTCCCTTACATTGGTGATCAGTGGGAAGATGCCCCTTACATTGGTGATCAGTGGGAAGAATGCTCCTTACATTGGCGGTCAGTGGGAAGAATGTCCCTTACATTGGCGGTCAGTGGGAAGAATGTCCCTTACATTGGGGGTCAGTGGGAAGAATATACCCCTTACATTGGTGATCAGTGGGAAGAATGTCTCTTACATTGGTGGTCAGTGGGATGAATGCTCCTTACATTGGTGGTCAATGGGAAGAACGCTCCTTACATTGGTGGTCATTGGGAAGAATGCTCCTTACATTGGTGGTCAGTGGGGAAGAATGCTCCTTACATTGGAGATCAGTGGGAAGAATATCTCTTACATTGGTGGGCAATGGGAAGAATGTCTCTTAGATTGGTGGTCAGTGGGAAGAATGCTCCTTACATTGCTGGTCAATGGGAAGAATGCTACTTACATTGGTGGTCAATGGGAAGAATGCTCCTTACATTGGTGGTCAATGGGAAGAATGCTCCTTCAATTGGTGGTCATTGGGAAGAATGCTCCTTCAATTGGTGGTCAGTGGGAAGAATGCTCCTTACATTGGTGGTCAGTGGGAAAAATGCTCTTTACATTGCTGGTCAATGGGAAGAATGCTCCTTACATTGGTGGTCAGTGGGAAGAATGCTCCTTACATTGGTGGTCAGTGGGAAGAATGCTCCTTACATTGGTGGTCAGTGGGAAAAATGCTCTTTACATTGGTGGTCAGTGGGAAAAATGCTCCTTACATTGGTGATCAGTGGGAAGAATGTTCGTTACATTGGTGATCAGTGGGAGAAGGAGGAGGACACACTGAAGAAGCTCTCCCTGAGAACCAACGTTTTCAAGCCTGAGCCTTGCCTACTAGCTTGGCCCAGGAACCATGCCTGATCCGGGGGGAGGCCCTGGGAGGGATTCCCCTGATGACATCGGGCCTAGTGAGGAGGAGGAGGTGGAGGACCTGACTGTGGGTCCAGGCCCTGGTGAAGATATGGATGTCTTCAGACAGAAGATTATTGATTGGTTCTTGGCTATTGGAAGAGCGGAGGAAAACTTAAAGTTTTGAAGGCTGATCATAAATCCTTCAGAGCCACGTACTGCCAGGCCTGGAGTAAGAACAGATTGGCCATGAAGCCAGAGCTACAACAGATGGAGGAGAAGGTAAAGAAACAATTTTTATTACTTGAAAAGTTGAAAGCCTGAAGTGGAACATTTAAAGAAAAGTTTGACAATGAGAGGAGATTTGCCAGCCAGACATCAGCAAGTTCTGTGGATCAGCAGCCTCAAGTAATGGATGACCCGGATCCATCTACATCAGCGTCTCTTCCCCATTTCAGGCTGCGCAATTGTCAGTGGCAACCAGCCAGGGGGTTGAGAGTGAACATGGCACCCTAACCTTCATCCAGCAAATGGAGTCACCCCTGAGGGCAGACAGGTTTGCCTTTTCTGATGACCCTTCAGAAGTCCCTGAGGATGGACAGAGGAGGTACAGACTAGCAAAGCCAGTACTGGTGGAGAAGTCCCACTACACCAAGGTGGCTGCTTCCAACATGTCTGTCCCACTGGCTGTGAGTACTGCTGATGAAAAGGAGCTCTGCAAACGGCCTGCTGTGGAGGAATCCTCAGCCAACTTGGAGGGAAAATCCCTGGCAGAGATGTCTCCAGACCATCAGGGGAATGCGGATGGACCTGCACCAAGCACCCCAGAGATGGATGTTACTGCTGCTGTTCCTGCTGAGACTAGTAGTCCCTCTACAGGCAAGATTGCTGCCATCTGCAGAGGTTTTGTTTCACCTGAGCTCCCAGGTGTTCCAGAGCTGATTGATTCTGGTGTGGGAGGGGAGCAGCACACTGCACCATGTGGACAGCAAACATGGATGTCTCCTGTGTCAGTGAAGTTTCACTTTTTTGCTGTGTCTGAACATCCATTACGGTCCTGGGCTGAGTGTCCTTTTCTGGAGGAAGAGATGACAGCTGGAGCTGAAGTTTCTATGGTTGCAGCAGTGAGTGCGAACATTTCTGTGAACTCTATGACTGGTGAGACTGTTAAAGCAATGGATGTGGTGGTGAAGGGGTTAACGTTGCTGGTAAGAGTAAAAATGGCGTTTTTCCCCCTGCTGGCAGAGAGAGGTTTCACCATCCAATCTCGAATCTGTCCAATTGGTATCTGCTAGAGTTGCACCAGATGCGCCCAAACACACAAATATTTCTGCTCCTGGGAGGAATGTGGGGAGCTATGCTTCTGTTTTGGGGGAGTCACACCAAGGGGGATAGTGGGAGTGTTGAAAATCCTAATGGTCACAATTTGGGGAGGTTTGGTGGTTGGATGGTTGGTGGGGTCAGGAGATGGAATGTTGTGCAGTTGAAGTGGGAGGGGGAAAGAAACCCACCAGTAAGGGGGAGGGTGGCTGAGTTGATTCTAGAGATGGGGTTTAAAGCCTGTTATGTTTTTGCGTTGATCTGCCCAGTTGGCAGTTATGAATATGATTTGTCATTTGTAAAACCTGAAGGCCTGGACCTGTTTTGGGAGAGATATAGGAAGTGCAGGAGTCTTCAGCAGTGGAGAGGTTTGGTGGCAAAGGTAGTTTCAAGGCAGCCTTTGATAAAATCGGTGACGATCCTGGTCTGTAATGAATCAATACCAGAAGCTGATTTGGTAGTGTGGCTACACCGATATGGCGAGGTCCTCACCCCACTGGTCCTGGATGAGCACGAGATATTGACAGGGGCCTGGACATTGCCACTGCAATTGAGGGTGCTGGGCAATGTGGTTCAGCATCTTCCCTGCTCAGCTTTTCTGGGGAGGGATAGGCTGACCATTTTCTGACCATTCTGGTCAGGGTTTTTCTATCAGGGTCAGCCTAAGGTTTGTAATGTGGAGAGAAAGGACACTTTGCATCGTTCTGCATCATCAAGAAGTGCTCACTGTGCCAGGATTTAGGCCATTTGGCCAAAGAATGCACCCAGATTCGGTGTAATTTGTGCCAGCAGCTGGGTGATCCATACAGTCAGTGCCCAGAGGCACTACACAACCTGCCAGGATTGGAGGCTGAGCTGCAGAGGCTGGATAAAGAGGATGAGGCAGCTGATGCTAGGGAGCAAACTGTTGTTGCCCCTCCTGTCTTTGTTCCGTCTGTTTCAGATTGTTTCCTCTAGTAATGTCACCCCTGAGTCTGTCCCTCCTGTTCTTAATCCTACTGTATGTAGATCCTCCAGACTAGCAGAAGCTACTGGGGGGCAGGTTTAGCAAATTTTCCCTACTCCACCTTCAGTACCTGTCCTACGACAGTGTAAACGTGGTCAGGAGAGTGTGGGGGTGCTGGATGGGGTTGGAGCTGATGGGGCTTAGGGAGGGGTGTCCATGTCCCATGTTTCACCTCCTGCTGAAGGGGATTCGGCTGATGAGGGGTGGGAGAGGGTTAAGGGGAAGAAGAGGAGGATGAGAAGAGCTGTCCTTTCTTCTTCAGAATCAGACCCAGGAGGGGTCCCTCTTGGCAACACCTATTCAGTTTTGTCAGCTGATGAGATGGAGTCTGATTTATCCATTTCTTTATCAGCTATGGATGAGGGGGAGTCACATATTCTGAAGAGAGCTGTTTCGGGTGATGAGAGTGTGGCAGAGGTTAAGAAACGACTACCCTAATCATCCTGATGGCAGTTCCCGCTCCATTAAAGGTAGCGACCATTAATGTCGCCAGAATTAAATCTGCAAGAACTTGTGATACAGCCTTATTTTTGCTCAGTGAGTTTGATGCTGAGATTTTATTTTTGCAAGAGGCCTGGCTCAATACATTGGCCGATGCCTATCTAGCAAAAAGGGAGTGGAGATGTGGTCCCTCCTTTTGGTCTCTTGCGGCTGAACCTTGCAGTGGAGTTGCGGTCCTTTTTAAAACTGATATGGTAACGTGCCGGCAGGTAATTGAGGTAGAAATGGGGAGATGCATGACCTTAGACGTCTCTGTTAGGGGGCAGGACCTGCGCCTGATCAATATTTATGGACCGCAGTCAAAATGGGGCAGAAAATGCCTACTCACAAAGATCAAGCCTGGTCCTTACCAGAACTGTAAGCAAGGTATAGCAGTTAAGACAGTCATTGGCCTGAAAGACAGTACGGGTTCCCTGATAAAGTCCAGATCAGGGATCTTGCAGATCTTTGGGTTGTATTATGCAGACCTTCTGGGAAGAAAGGACCTTAGCCGGAACAGGATGGAAAGCTTTCTGGATTCTACTACTCCAGGATTGGGAAATGGTGCATTGCTTTTGATGAATTTGACAGAACCAGTTTCAGCGGATGAGGTAGTTCATGCTATAGACAAGCTGGCTACCAAAAAATCACCTGGGCCAGATGGATTGACAGCTGGATTTTACAAGTGTTTTAAGTCCATTCTGGCTCCCTTTTTAGCGGAGGTTTTTAACAGCTGTCTAGAAGAGGGTTCGCTCCCTCCCTCCATGAGGCAATCCGCTGTGATTCTTCTGTCAAAAGGTAAAGACCCCTCAATGATTGAGAACTGGCGCCCCATCAGTCTTCTCAATGTTGATAGAAAGATTCTTTTTTGGGGCTTGTCATCTGTAGCAGGCGATTTGTTGTCCAGCCATCAGCACTGTTTGGACAAAGGTCGAAGTACCTTTTCAGCAGTTTTGGCTAACCAGGAGGCTTTGGAACGATGCACGGCTGCTGGATGGAGAAAAGTACTTGCTGGCATTGGATCAGGCAAAAGCTTTTGATCGAGTGAATCATGAATATCTGTGGTTGCTACTTGGTAGATACAGCCTGCAGGGGAGGTTTATAGATTGGCTGAAGACATTATATAAAGGGGCTGAGAGCTTCACACTTGTTAATGGTTGGGTTGTATGGCCTTTTGAGGTTGGCTCTGGTGTGCGCCAGGGATGTCCTTCGAGCCCCCAGCTATATGCTTTCACAATCGACCCCTTTGTAAGAAGGCTAGAAGGTGCATCATTGCACGGGGTGCCTCTGGGCATTGCTGGTGCGCCTTTGAAGGTTGTGGCCTATGCTGATGATGTGTCTTTTATTATCTCTAGGACTGAGGAGGCGCAGGAGGTGGTCTCTGTGATAGAGCAGTACACGGAGGCTTCTGGCTCTAAAGTCAACCATGAAAAGAGTAAAGTTTTCTGGATGGGTGAGGAGGGTGAAAGCTTCGAACTTCCGGATGCCTTCCCGGAGCCCCAGCAGGAAATTAAAATTTTGGGCATCAAATTTGGCCCTGGTGACTATGGTCACCGAAATTGGGAAAGCAGGTTGGTAGATGCCAATGCTAAAGTGGAGAGCTGGAAGAGGTGGAGGCTCTCCTTGAGGGAGAGGGTTGACTTAATCAAAACTTACCTGATCCCGATCTTTTTATATGTTAGCTTCATCTGTATCTTGCCGGTATCTCTCTATGCAAGGGTCTACAGCTGTTTTTTCCAACTGTTATGGGGAAATAGGCTGGACCTGATCAAACGCAATGTAACTTACCTGTCCAGGCGGGTGGGAACTAGGAATGGTTTTTCTTTTCTTTGCTATTTTTAAAGTACAATCTTGGTAATATGTTAGCAGAGACCCCGCCGGGATGGGTGGGTATTTTTCAGTCTTGGTTTAATCCTTTTCTGCGTGGCTGTGAAGATGGCTGGCCAGTGAAAAATCTGAGAGTCTGAGGTGGCAAGCTCCAGGCATATGTTGCCCCATGTCTGAAAATACTTTGGCAGTGGCAGGTGACAGTGAAGGATATCCGGTCCCTTCCCAGGAAGCTTCTAGGGGAGAGGAGGATTTTGGCTTCTGCTTTCAGTGTGTCACTGGCCTTAAAGGATTGCCCAGGCTCTGTAATGAGGGAAGGATTGCGTTTTAATTAATTTGGAAAGAATCCCTTTGAAATTTGGGGATCAAGACTGGCTCGCTTTTCATGGAAGGCTCTATGTGAGAGGGAACCTAAAGCACCGCCCTGTGGATGATCGAGAGTGTCCTAGAGCAGAGTGTGTGTTGGTAAAGTGGAGTCTATGGACCACTTTCTGCTCCTGTGTCCCTTTAACATAGATGTGTATGAAAGGGTTGGGAGGGATCTGGGCATCCACTTTCTCTATTTCATGAGTTATGCAGAGTGGGTGTACGGGGCATTCCCAGCTCGCTGGGACTTTGATTTGGATACACTTTTTATAGTTAGTATAGTTGTTTGTTACTTCACATGGAATGCACGGTATCAGATTACCCTGCGGAAGAAAGTCCTCCCTGTTGAGGTGATGGTGCACGATATTCTGGGTGAGGTTGGGAAGATTTTGGGGGTTAAGAAGGGCAGGGAGCCTTGGGCGGTCTGGATAAGGGCGTGGAGGAATATCAGACCTGCCTTTGGTGAACTGTCCATCTCTGGGTGAGGGGCTTTTTTTATGCTGTTCTTTTCACTCCCTTAGTTTTTGTTGGTTAAGATAATTTTTTTGAAGAAGGGCTGCATGCATAATGGGGGCGGGGTTGTTTCTTGACCTCTCAGGTTTGATGTCTGGTGTAGTGATGTGAGTTGTAGCAAGATTTATTTCCCCCAGTAATAATCATTTCTGAGAGGTTTGCTTTTGTCTGACAGCAGATTTTGCTATTTTTGTTTTTGTGTAAATATGTATATAATTATTTATATTTGTATATTCTGTATATTATTTTATGTTTATTGATTGCAAGACTTTTAATAAAGAAAAATTGGGAAGAATGCCCCTTATATTGGTGATCAGTGGGAAGAATGCTCCTTACATTGGTGATCAGTGGGAAGAATGTCCCTTACATTGGTGGTCAGTGGGAAGAATGCTCCTTACATTGGTGATCAGTGGGAAGAATGCTCCTTACATTGGTGGTCAGTGGGAAGAATGCTCCTTACATTGGTGATCAGTGGGAAGAATGCCCCTTACATTGGTGATCAGTGGGAAGAATGCTCCTTACATTGGTGATCAGTGGGAAGAATGCTCCTTACATTGGTGATCAGTGGGAAGAATGCTCCTTACATTGGTGATCAGTGGGAAGAATGCTCCTTACATTGGTGGTCAGTGGGAAGAATGCTCCTTACATTGGTGATCAGTGGGAAGAATGCCCCTTACATTGGTGATCAGTGGGAAGAATGCTCCTTACATTGGTGATCAGTGGGAAGAATGTCCCTTACATTGGTGATCAGTGGGAAGAATGTCCCTTACATTGGTGATCAGTGGGAAGAATGTCCCTCACATTGGTGATCAGTGGGAAGAATGCCCCTTACATTGGTGATCAGTGGGAAGAATGTCCCTCACATTGGTGATCAGTGGAAAGAAAGCTCCTTATATTGGTGGTCAGTGGGAAGAATGCTCCTTACATTGGTGGTCCAGTAGGAAGAAGGCCCCTTACACTTGTTGATTTGAGGAATGTTCCTTACAATGGTAGTCAGTGGGAAGTATGTTCTCTACATTGGTGGTCAGTGGGAACAAAGCCCCTTACATTAGTTGATTGGAAGAATGCTCCTTACATTGGTGATCAGTGGGAAGAATGTCCCTTACATTGGCGGTCATTTGGAAGAATGTCCCTTACATTGGTGGTCATTTGGAAGAATGCCTCTTACGCTGGTAGTCAATGGGAAGCATGCCCCTTACATTGGTGATCAGTGGGAAGAATGTTCCTTATGATTAGTTACATAGGTTATTGGTGAAGGTGGTAAGTTATTTGGGAGGCAGAAATTGTTTATCTTTCAAGGAACGCCTAGCATTCTCTGGGGGATCCCTAGGGTTCTACAGAACTTTCCTTCAGAAAACCTGTTATAGAGGGTCAGTTGAGTGACAGCTCTGATTCTGCTGGGGCTGCTGATGTCACATCTAATATCTAAGTGTAAGTGGCCAGCAGCATTCTCAGGCCTTTTGGATGTCTAAATAAGGAAAGCTTTAACAGGTAAATAATATGGCTAAAATATGCAAAAACTAAATACTATATATTCTTATGGGAAATGTTTTTTAAATTAGTCTGGTGAGAGGGTCTCTACTGCACAACCAAAACTAAAAAAAATGTTTAAAAAATAGCTAGAAGGCCTTTGAGAAAAAAAAATTCCTTATTTTTTTTACTTGTACACTCCCTGTGGTGCACGAGTGGAGATGGGTGCCTGCAAATTTACAAAGGGCAGGATTTTTGAGTTTGTATAATAAGAACAAATGTGTAAACTTCATTTATTTTTTTACATACTCCCCTGCTACATTTATACACTTATCCCAGCGTTTTACTAATGCCTGGACAGGTTCGGCATAGAAAGATTTGTCAGTACGCCTGAACCATCCTAGGACAGCCGGCTTCACTTCATCATTGTTGTGTTCACCGTTCCCACAGAAAGATTTGTTTTTGTGCAGTTTCAGGACAGGTTATGCATTGATTATCCAGGATCAGGCGTTCCACGCGCTGAATGTTCACAGGAACGACTACTGTGGGCTGGGAACCACCACGGACAGGATCATCACTGACGGACGCACGGCCATCTTTGCAGCGTTTACACCATTCACATATCTAACTTCGGCTGAGCTCTCATCACTGTACTGTGCTTGAAGTCTTCTGTAGATATCTGCGGGTTTTCACAAGAAACGTCATCACCACATTTCGGAGGCCAAAATCTCCCTTCATCAGGGCTTGGGCACATGCTTTCTGTTCAACTCTGTCTAAAAATGTCTGGGGGATAATCTCTATCAGGAGAAAAGAACAGTCTGTCTCAACTGACCTGTTATGAGGATACTGCAGCAGATCTGTAGATGTCAGGAATCACAACAGCCTTTCATTATGTATTCATCAGGGGACGGTATTCGGGTTCTGAAAAGTGGTGACAATGCAGATTTATGTCTGGTACATTGTTAACCAAGAATACAGAAAGCTTTAATCTTGGCTCTGTGACATAATGTAGTCAGGGAGCAGGGCAGCTACTACTGGATATCGTATTGTTTGAAGGGTACTGAGTACAGGGTACAGGGCAGGAGCAAGATCAGAATAAATGGCAACAGGATCTGGCAACAGCAAAACACAGATGCAAGAAGTACTTAGTAGGGGAGGACCTAAATACCCTCCCAGCAGCCAGCATGAGGAGGAAACTTGATTACTGGGATCTGCTGGCTGCTGGGAGACACCTGCTGGTGGACATTGGAATTACAACCCTCCACCTAGGGAACCACAGTGCCAGCAGCAGGTGCTCCTGGTCCTGACAGAAGATCTATGTGGTTGAGGGAACCTGCTAGGCAGAACAGTGTATGGCCAGCTTCAGTATAGTGGGCATGCCAAGCCCAGGTGATCATTTTTATCTCCGCATTCAAAATGAATGGTCTGCCTAATGCAATGCACCCCAGCGCACGAAAACAAGCGTGTCAAAGCGCACTGGGTCACGGTGTGAATGGACCCTAACAATCACAGACTATGTTGTCTTGGTTTAGCCTGTCTCTGGAGTCCAGTAAGGACAGTTTCTCCGGCGGCGATTACACCAGCCTTTCATTATGTATTCATCAGGGGATGGTATGCGGGTTCTGAAAAGTGGTGACAATGCAGATTTATGTCTGGTACATTTTTGAAAGGTCGTATAAGCCAAGAATACAGAAAGCTTTAATCTTGGCTCTGTGACTTAATGTATTCCAGGAGCAGGGCAGCTGCCACTGGATATCGTATTGTTTGAAGGGTACATTGTACAGGGCAGGAGCAAGATCAGATTAAATGGCAACAGGATCTGGCAACAGCAAAACAGAGATGCAAGAAGTACTTAGTAGGGGAGGACCTAAATACCCTCCCAGCAGCCAGCATGTGGTGGAAACTGATTACTGGGGTCTGCTGGAAGACAGCTGCTGGTGGACATTGGAATTACAACCCTCCGCTTAGGGAACCACAGTGCCAGCAGCAGGTGATCCAGGTCCTGACGGCAGATCAATGGGGTTGAGGGAACCTGCTGAGCAGAACAGTGTATAACCAGCTTCAGTATAGTGGGAATGCCAAACCCAGGTGATCATTTTTATCTCAGCGTTCAAAATGAACTGTCTACCTAACGCAATGCACGAAAACAAGCGCGTCAAAACGTACCGAGTCCTGGTGTGAATGGACCCTAAAAAAGCACAGACTATGTCGTCTTGCTTCAATCTGTCTCTGGAGTCCAGTAAGGACAGTTCTCCGGCGGCGATTACACCAGCCTTTCATTATGTATTCATCAGGGGATGGTATGCGGGTTCTGAAAAGTGGTGACAATGCAGATTTATGTCTGGTACATTTTTAAAAGGTCGTGTTAACAAAGAATACAGAAAGCTTTAATCTCGGCTCTGTGACTTAATGTATTCCGGGAGCAGGGCAGCTACCACTGATATCGTATTGTTTGAACAGACAGCTTCGTAGAATAATGAGATAAACAATGATGATGGGAGGTGAGCCGAGTGTGCTTGTAGTGCATTGAAAGGAGTTTTCATGGAACTAGCCGCTGATGCATCTTTAGGTCCTTTCTATAGAACAAACTCCAAACTTATATAATTAGGTGGAGAAAAGACACAAGTCCATGGAGTTCAACTGGTAAAAAAAAAACAAACCAGTAA